CAAAAAAATCAAAATTTTGGTACGTGTCCGTAAGATGAAATATCACGTGACCGGTACGTGTCCGTAGACTTTCCGCACCTGGGGTAGTTACTAATCGACTTTCATATCATGTGACTACATTTGTCAATTAGCCAATCAAACCTAAATCGATTAGTTGTTTTAAATTTTTCTAAATCAACTAGTTGGAAAGTTGTCAACTAGTTGATTTTCAACTAAACGATTCGGATCACAACCTCCAACCAGTGAATTGGGCAAAATAATTTATTTGGCCGAAATGGTCAAATATTCATATAGAAAAGCTAGCAATATTGATTGGTTACAACTTTTGGGATACTGGCCATTGGCCGTTGCCTATTTTGGCCAAAAAAAATAATTTGCCAACACTGCCCCAACCCTAAGATCAGCACGTGGGGGTAACGATCCTGGGGCAGTTGTGTTGCTAATAACTATAAAAGAGACGTTTGACAAACATATATGGGTAATTATTTTTGAATCCAGACCAAAATATTATTAGTCATATATATAAATTGGTCTGGGTTCAAAAATAAATACCCATTTCGATATAGCTGATTATCGTTATCGTTATCCTTATATAAAGTTATTGCTATTTACGTTGAACCGCGTTTGGATTGACATAAATCAGCCAATCAGACGAATGCCTTCAATATGTATCTATTAATCGAGGAGTCAGGATAGATACACTTTCATAACTTTCGTAATGCAAGTAACCCTTACTCGAGAAGGTCCGTTATTCATTTTATCAATGAAAAATGGTGAAAATCGGTTCAACACAACTTTCATCCAAGAGATAAATGCAATTTTGGATGAAATTGAATTTACTATCCAACAAGAAAATTTGGAACGTGCAGCGCTTATTACGATCGGCGAAGGAAAGTTTTACAGCAATGGTTTGGATTTAGAGCACGCACTAAACACCCCTGGATTTTTTGATGATTATTTTTTAAAATTACTGGCCAGAATTTTGACGTTTCCAATTCCGACCGTTGCGGCAATCAATGGACATGCTTTTGCTGGAGGATTCATGTTTGCTATTGCACATGGTGAGCTTTATTTACAAGAAAATATTTAAACTCAAAATAATCCGTTAATTGCAATTTCAGATTATCGTGTTATGAGAGGTGATAGAGGATTTATGTGCATGGTAATCCTTCATAATTCTTCATAATTAAAACATCTCAAACATTCTACATATTAACCATTCCTCATATATTTCCTTGATCAGAACGAAGTTGAAATTCCATCTCCACTTCATCCTGGTATGGCCGCGATAGTTAGAATTAAAACGACACCGAGAGTTTATCGTAACTGTATATTACAAGCTCATAGGTTTAGTGGACCGAATGCATTGGATCAGGGATTAGTAGATATAATTGCGCCAGAAAAAGATGTGTTACCTAAGGCAAAAGAGCTAGCCCTTGAATGGTCAAAACTAGCAAGAGCAGGGGCTATCTATAGAGAGTTGAAAAAAGAAATGTATATTGAGGGTATCAAATATTTGGAGATTAAAAATTGGCAAGCAAAATTATAATTAAATTAATTATTAATGAAGCTTTGAATAATATACTGACAAATAATGAATTGAATTTCTTTATGTATACGTGATCCATAGTGTTTTGTTACTTTAATGCTAATTTTTGTAAATGATTTCTCATTATTATCTTAGCCTGAGATTGTAACAAAAAATTTATATGATTTACAATTAATCAATAAAGAATTTTGACAAGCACAAGATTCAATCTACCTTGATAATGATTGTAACTACTGTCAGCTATCGATACAACGGACCCTTACACCGATTCAATAGTTTAATGAACCTATGGGTGGGTACAAAAAAATTTGCACTTCAAAACGGGTTTACTAAAATGCACCATTGGTGTCGAACACCATAGTTTCTATATCACAAAAACGTACTAGCTAACACACCTTAGAGGTACGAAGTAAAATGTTTAGAACCTAAAAACCTTATACTAACTAAAATTTGAACCTTTATATCTAACCTCTATGCTACCCTGTAGCTGCGTCCTAACTCTGAATTATAGACAATTGTTAAATAAAATAGATTTTAATCTAATTTTTAATTTTTTTATTTTTTATTTTTTTTTTTTTAATTCAGCTATTCTGAATAAGGTTTCAGAGAATTATTAGTATAAAAATTCCTGCATTTGAGGCATGTATATTTATGTATTTGTTGTTATCAATTTGATTTGGAAGATAAACAATGTTGATCTGATTGGTGTACATGATGTTAATTTTTGGAGAGGGTAAGTTAAAACATTCACTTTTTACAAAAATTTTTTTTAAAAAAAGTGATGGTTAACAGAAATATATAAGGTTTTTCTTATAGGTTTTAGAGTTGTATAGTCTAGTTTTTTTGTTTCTACCAACTTGATAGTGTATATTAGCTACTTCTCAGACTTGTTTTTAGAATAAACTTTTTGATTTGAATGTTAAATACTTTAGAAAGGTCATTAGAAAGAAAATTTGATTTCAAAGAAAATATCTGTTTTTTTAACATCTGCTTTTCAATATATTACATCTAGATGCTTAAACTTCATTGACAACAAGCTGCTTTTATTTATAGAACCAAGTTTGGTATCTACTTTGTTGCTTTTTTATAACATTTTGCTGTAGTTCAGTTTTTATTATTATTAACTAAAGGATTATTAGAAAAAGTTGATTATTTTATAGTTATTTTATTTTATTTTATTTTATTTTATTTTATTTTAGAAAATTACTATAATTCACAGTCTGTGAAATTCACAGATCTGCATTTAGCCAATTAAATTTACTACGGTTTACTTCAAAAAAAGTTTTCTATTTAAGTTAGGTTGGGTTAAGGTTATAATAAATAATGAATTTTATAGTAAAATTTAGCAAGGAATTTTTTTACTTATAACACCAAAGGTGGTTTCTTAAGCTAAATTTTGTGTTATAAGTAATTTTTTATTTTTTTTGTAATAAAAAACTTTGTTTTTGTTATACAAAGAAAATTTGCAGATCATGCTAATTCTGCAATTTTGATTAGTCAGATGCAGGGCTGTGAATTTCACTGCCTGTTAAGATTAGCAACTCTCTTTATTTTATTTTATTTTATTTTATTTTATTTTATTTTTTTATTTTATTTTATTTTATTTTATTTTATTTTATTTTTTTATTTTATTTTATTTTATTTTATTTTATTTTATTTTTTTATTTTATTTTATTTTATTTTATTTTATTTTATTTTTTTATTTTATTTTATTTTATTTTATTTTATTTTATTTTTTTATTTTATTTTATTTTATTTTATTTTATTTTATTTTTTTATTTTATTTTATTTTATTTTATTTTATTTTATTTTT